GCATCAAGGAGGGGAGCCAGGTTCTTTTTAAAGACGGACCCCACTTAAAGGCCTGTTATATGGGACCAGGACCATGCTGTGAGGCAAATGTTTTTTCTACTCTGTCAGCATTTGGATTTAGAAAATCTAAAAAATAAAAACCACACCACATTCCCAGGGTTCATGACCACACAGCCGTGTGAAGCATCCACACGGGCAGTATGGCCTCCATCCCCTGAACATGGGGGCGCTGAGCCTCCCTGCACGGGGCCAGGCTGCTGGGGCCGTAACGAATCCCATTCAGAGGAGGAGCGGGGCCCAAGTGCTCCTTGTCCAGCTGGCGGGTCCTGGCCTGGGTGGTTCTGGTCCGAGTACCTCATAGATGTGGTAGAGGTTGGAGCCTTCATCTGGCCAGTAGTGGTAGCACTGCCGGACACCGTTCTCCGTGAGGGGCGTCAGCATGACGATCACCACGCAGCCGCTCTCCCACACCATCTGTGGACAAAGAAGGCCCGTGGCCACCGCGTGACTGTCTCATCACCGCGTGACATGTGTAATTACTGCACTCGGAAGCACAGTCCAAATTTATTCCATTCATAGGACATTTATTTCATTTTCTCAGACATGTTTACTCCGCAGCTGCCTAAGTGTCTCTGAATGCACTGGCCCATACTTTGCATGTTCCATGAAATATTAGAAATCCCCGCAAATTTATCCCATGCCATTTAGAGCTTCCTCAGTTCTAGGTTCAGTTGTGTGGCTTTCCAACTTTTGATCTATAAGGGAAACTATAATGCCACACATAACAGCCAGCGCTTCTCCAGGTGGTGCAAGTGGAACTCGGCCGACACCCTCGCTTGCTGGTGGCTGGCATCATTTTGCTCACCTAGAGAAACGTTTTGCTTTGTGAAGCTGCTGTCCTATCAGAAGCAGTCTCCCAAAGGCTTCTTTTCAAAGTACATCACGGAAAGCAGCACTGTACTGCTGCAATTTCATTTGTTTATACCGAAATATGGCAACACTATTCAGATTAAAGCAAATACCAAATTGATTTACTAATTCTTATTAGCCACATTGAAACACAATAAACAAAAGCACATTTAAACACACAGAAATGACAAAGACACAAAGCCCTCTGACCTCGCTTCTTTGCAAACACAACTGGCTACTTGTGGCTCTAAGCCTCCATCTTAACATTTACAGCCTAATTACCCAAAACCATTAATCCTGTGGGGCACACTGATGTGGCATGTGTAGATTTTTATTAGCATATTAAATTATAGAGTGAAGAGGGTCTGCTTTTTCTGCAATGGGTTACATTAACTTGGCAGAAATGTTTGTAAGCAACTGCATTTAGATGTAAATTTGGTATCCAAGACAGTTTCTATTTCTTTTAAAAACAGATACAAAAATCCAATTAAGATCTTGTTATTTAAAAAACCCTCATATCTCAAATATAAAATGCTGTCATTGTAGTGCATGTTACTGAATTCCACATTCATATTTTAAAAACCAGACATATACATGATATTTTCCTCTTTTAATATTGATTTATGTTCTCATGGGGCTGAAATAGGGCACCTCACTGTGTATCATTTACATTGGAAGCTAACGGAACCAACTGAAGTATTTACGAAAAGCCCACAAATAAATATGAATTATGCTCAAATTCGCGCACTTCCTTTCTCCTTAGTGCCCATCCAACAACAAGATGAGAATTCAAAGCGTGTTTCTTACGCTAAGCTTTTCAGGCTTTCAAACCTGCTCCTCCAAATCGGTACTTCCATCACATAACAATTTAATGTGCCTTCAGAAGGTGGAGAAGCTCATGGAAGCCATTACGAAAATGAGGAAAAACACAGATTTTATGAGTGTAATAAAAATACAATGATCTAGACCACAAACTAATCATCCGGCACTCGGCTCCTTGCCGCCCTAGTGTGACATTACGGAGCCCCGTCGACTGGGGGGATCCGCGCGGCCTAGAAGCCGCGCTCATTGGCTCTCGCGTCCGCCCTTCATTACGGGGCGCCTTCCCGGCTCTCTGAAGATTTGGTTAAGATTAAATCCAAATGAAACTTAATTTAAACAAACAATCCCAAAGGCACTCTGGGGAATAATATTTCTTTTTAGGTCACTGTGTATAAAAGCAGAGAGGGGAATTTACTAAATCAAACAAATAGGCAGCCCTATTGGGCACCAATATTACAAGCTGTTCACGGATCTGATTACATTATCTTGTGTTCCTTCGAATCAGTACATAGCAACCCAATCTAGGAGGGAAACTACGGCATTTCTCCATCTGTTTCCAGCCTTCAACAGCAGCGCCTGACCAGTTAACCTCACAATATATCGCAAAAATCCGTTTGGATTTTGGCACGAATACAGAATATCAGTAAAAATCCCAGTCAAGTAAGGTTCAATTTCTAATTGGGGAGAAGTTTCACTATTTTCTTTCTCATTGGCTTGGTCTTTGTTGACAGGTGAAATACAGAAAGTGCTCACCCCTGGCACCTGTGACCTCATTTGGATACAGGATTTTCAGACGTAATCAAGTTAAGGTTGGTTTGTGTCACAAATCTTTGAGAAATCTAAGACTTTCTTTCAGGAAGTAAATAATGACCCAGGGTCCTTGTTTAATCTTAATGCAGTTCATTGGAATAGGCAGTTTACAAAACTGTATTGTTGAATTCCAGAAATGACCATTTCTAGCACTTCCTGTTTGGTGAAGGGTAAGAGAACACGGCCCCCATGGCCACGTGCACAGCTGAGCACCTGCACACCCGAGCACCTGCACAAGTGAGCACCTGCACACCCGAACACCTGCACACCCGAACACCTGCCCACCCGAGCACCTGCACAGCCGAGCCCCTGCACAGCCGAGCCCCTGCACAGCCGAGCACCTGCACAGCCAAGCACCTGCACAGCGGAGCACCTGCACAGCCGAGCACCTGCACAGCGGAGCACCTGCACAGCGGAGCACCTGCACAGCCGAACACCTGCACAGCGGAGCACCTGCACAGCCAAGCACCTGCACACCCGAACACCTGCACAGCTGAGCTGAGCACCTGTACAGTCGAGCACCTGCACACCCGAGCACTTGCACACCCGAGCACCTGCACACCCGAACACCTGCACAGCTGAGCTGAGCACCTGTACAGTCGAGCACCTGCACACCCAAACACCTGCACACCCGAGCACTTGCACACCCAAACACCTGCACAGCCGAGCACTTGCACACCCGAACACCTGCACAGCCGAGTACCTGCACAGACAAGCACCTGCACACCCAAGCACCTGCGCAGCTGAGCACCTGCACACCTGAGCACTTACACACCCGAGCACCTGCACAACTGAGCACCTGCACACCTGAACACCTGTACACCCAAGCACCTTAACAGCTGAGCACCTGCACAGCCGAGCACCTACACACCTGAGAACCGGCACAAGTGAGC